TCATTTTAACAGATATATTTACACAAAAATATCTTCAAAAACTAAAGAGTATATTTATTCAATAAAGACAACTTCAGATTCTCCTGAAACTCTTGTGGATGGTCTCCTTGTTTGTGTTGGTGAATGCTGCTATAATCCTTGCCTTCAGCTCATCTTTGGTGTTACAAGGAGTTTTGTTGGTTTCTCACTCAGCTGAAACCCACACATAATAATCAAAGGGGTTGCAGTCAGAGGAGTTGGGTGACCAGATGTATGGTAAAAGGAATTGTCTGACAGCCATGACTGGGTTCTCCTGCTAGTGTGGCATGACGCAGCCTCATGTTGCCAGACATAGGGTCTTCCAGCAGGTCTGTTCAATCACCAGCAGTTACACCAACACCAACAGTCTATTGTATATGATGATTTCATAATGGCATGCTTCCAGGGGTGAAAGACCACAGTATTTTAATGTATTCCATTTATATGTGTTAACGCATATTCATCCGAAAAAGTGGCCATTTCTTATACACTTTTCTCATCTACTTTTCTTACCTCAAGGTATATTTTTAAGTTTTCAGGAACACATTCTTTGAACTCTTCTACTAGAATCAGTCTAAGTCTATGTTTCAACTGGCTCCACCTGTCAAAATAAGCTTCCTTATCACTTGAAAACTCAACATAAGTTTGTCCCTTGGTTCTCTGTAACTTCCGTAATCTTTGATGGTAAGCTTCATATGTTTTAACGATGGCTGACTTCACAATATTATCATCAGCATAGTCATCTACTGACAGGATGGCATATGCTTTCTGGGCTTTACCTTTTAGTACAGTCTGTGGTGTCATGGGCCATTCCAAATTCAAAGCAATATTTTCAAAATGCAAAAAATATCCCTCTACTTCCACTTCATTAAAGTTTGGTACTAGCCTAACCTGCTTTAATAAGTCAAATTCATTCCATCTAGTTTCATTACTTAATTGGTTTGCTTCTATTTCATGGAACTATATCTCCTGTTCAATTCTAGCGTGATCATGATAAATAAAAATAAAATTTCCCATGATTCCCTAGTAAAAAAGGAAAATGCCCTACTAGTGAAAAATTTAGAATCAGGTGTCTTTTCAACAAAATCTCACTATGAGAGCATGTGAAAATTGACCTCACCAGGAATGAAGACTAAAGATAAGTTTTACTCAAATATTACTTTTTTACATCTAATTCCAAATTATTACCTATTTTTATTATATCATCTTTTTTATAAAAAAAAAACATATAAAGTTATGAAACCCAGGTTCAAAAAAAAAAAGAAAAGAAAAACAAAGGTGGATTCACTCAGACAGGAACACGTACTGACAAACAAACATAAGATTTAAATTTGTAAATAAATTTTATATAACAAAATACAAAACGTGGGAAAAGTAACAGATGTACAATTAATAAAAGAACACTTAACTGATATTGGATGTCATTTCAAATGTTTGATTTCAGGAATTGGGTGTTCGAATGTTTGTAATGACAAACAGTTGAGTTTATTGTAGAATGTTCACAAAATTGGTTGTTCTTTCTTCCACAATGTGAAATATAGAATTCCAGAATAATGCTTGTGTTTTGTTTCCCCTTGGTTACTTGGATTGCATCTGAGATGAAAGTAACATGTTTTCTTTCTATTTATTTGGGTACGATATTCCTTTATCCTTTACTCATTAAAAAGTCAAATGGATCCAAGTTCTCCAGGCTGAAATTTCCTTATTCCTTACACAATGAATATTGGAATAAGTTTTTTTTTTGGATGTATTTCACATCCCTCATGATCACATGATGAGAGTCTATTTTTCCTGCGAACTGTTGCCATCAGAGTTCATCAGGAAGCTGAATTTACAATACCAAAATCCCACTTGGTGATGTATGTCACATGTGTGTACTTAACTAATTCTTATTCACTTTCCTAAATGGCCATTCTGTTTGTTGTCAAGTGACCCCAAATTCCTTTCTTGCCCTTTTTTAATTAAAACATGACTCAGTTCAGATAGGGAATAAAACAAGAAAAAAATAAGAAAGAGGAGAAGAAGAAACACAAAGTCGGTGTGTCTCTTATTAAACTGATTATACATCTGATTTAATAGTTAACATTTAGGGCTATATATATATATATATATATATATATATATATATATATATATATAAATGAACACTGAGATCAACACCAAGTGGCAACAGTCTGTTTCAGACTTGAAGATTACATTCAAGTATGAAACAGACTTTCACCACTCAGTGTTCACCTCAGTGTCACTTTTATATTTATGCATAACCTATCCCTGATAGTGTGTACTTTACCAATAAATGCAGTCAGTTATGTACCATGTGTGATACATGCTTAGGCAATCACATATCGAGAGATACATGACTGACAAGGTAGATTTTTCCTGCAGTAGGTTGCCATTTCTTTCTGTGGTAGAATAGTTGTCATTCAAGGCTATGGAACCCAGTCTATCCTGCTATTTACCCATAGCTGGCAGGAGAAGAAGAGGATTCATACCTTTCCCAAGGGTACTAGCAAGTAAGTGAATGGATTCAACTGGAATTTGAACTTTGCTCTCCAATTCCTAAGTCTGAGGCACTATCCATTACTCCACCCTACCGTAAATCTATATTTTTATCATATAATATATATATATATATATATATATATATATGCACTCACACAATATTTCTTATTACTATAAACATTATTGTATTGCTATCACTGATTTTTTCCTAAACAGTGAAATTAATAACAACCAACCTAGATTGAGAAGTTCTACTAAAGAAAGATTGTGTTTCTGACAGGAATCAACAGGGACAGCAACTCAAATACGTGTCTTCACTAAAAATAATATTTATAGTAAGAGGAATTAATGTCAGATAAAAAAGTCCATTAAAAACCACACACATTCTTTTAATGAATTTACTTCTAGCCAAAGCATGCATATAACAAAATCTTTTTTTATAATCAAGCAGATTCCACAGACAATTAAGCACAAGTTATCTAACAATTCTTCAGATGAAAGCATCTTCAATGAAGCCAAAAAATTATGAAACAACCATAAAGACAGTAGATTTTCAACAACTGTCACAGTGCAAAAAAAAAAAAAACAGGAAAAGAACATACCTTCCATACAACAAAAAGTACAACAAAAACGTTCAACCTCCATACAGCAAAAACATAAAAACAAACTTCGGAAAAATATTCATTACACTCATACACAAAAAATTCCTCCCATGAAGCACTCTCCACAAGATATTCAATAGAAACACAGTAAAAAACAGCTACACTTGTATCAAGAACATGACACAAATAATAAAAAAACACAACAGAAAAATAATCAACAAATCACCCATACAAACCAAACCCAACCCACCTGTAACTGCAGAGCAAACAATGATTGTCCCTTAAATGGCAGTTGCTTACAAAACAACATAATATACCAAGCCACTGTAAAATGAATAGATAACATAGGAGTAACTGAAGGACACTGAAAATAGAGAAATATTGCACACAAAACATCCTTCACAAATAGTAAATACATGAACAGCATGATGCTTTCTAAACATATATGGAAAATTAACAACAAAAAACAAATTATACCAAAAAATATCATGTCAAATAAGGAAAAAATCATCAGCTTACAACAATAAATTAAAAAAAAACTGTAAATTCTGTCTGGAGGAGAAACTAGCCATAATTACCTTCCCACCACTGACCAGCACATATAGTTGAGTCGAAACACAACACACATGGCATGAAGATTGTGTTCAAGCATTGGTGTTGACCCGAGTGTCCAATTTTACATTTACATATACTCTATCTCTGATACTGATCACTTTTACCCATAAATCTCAATGTAAAATGATAAAATAATTTTTAATACTATATATATATATATATATATATATATATATATATATATATATATATTGTATGAAAATTATTTTGACATTTCCATTGAGATTGTTCCTTCAACTGATTAAAAACAAGGATTAAAAAGCAAGAAAGAGATTTTCTTCATAATTGCAGTTCATATAGAAATCAAGTCAATCTAAAATAGTTAACTATTTTTTCTTTGTAATAAGCCAGTTGCTGTCCATCTCAAAAGCAAAAATATTAGCAGGAAGAGGTCAAGTCTCAGCTCATTTATTACTGACCACTTCCTTTTTGTCTGCACTTAGCTGGGTGTTTTATGACGTGAATGCTACTCTAATAAGGAAGAAATAAACAATCAGTGATGAAGAACTACACATTTCCTTAACAAGTCGCTTACTTGTTTGTGTATCTAGGTCAAAAGAACAGAAAATATATTTTGTCATTATCAGAAGAATGAGTTTTTGAAGTTGGTTTATTAAAAACTCATGAGTTTTAAATACTTCACATGTAAATATGTAAGTATATTGCAGTATCATTTCTGATCAGGGCAACTTTCACAAGATCACATTTGCACTGAAAAACTAATACTTTTAATATACATTTCTACAAATGACAATAAGACAATAATTTTTAATTTCTCTGTATAAAAAAACTGTTTTCATGAATGACTAAATTTTGTATCAAAACCAAAGTAATAAATTTCTCATATTATTTGATTAAATTCTTTGGCATAATTGTTTTCTCAATTTTGTGACTTTAAAAGAGATTCATACTTATTTCTAGTTTTTTCAAATAAAAACAAACATATTCCTTATTGTAGTAAATAAATAGATGCATTTGTTCAAATTGAATATGAATGTGTTTATTTTTAGAGAAGGAAAGCTTTTTGTAATTCAAAGAAAGAAAGAAAGTCTAAATTACCTTGATTCACTTGAAACTATGTCTTCACTCAGTAAGGTAACAATTTCATAATATGGATTATTGTTGCTTGTCCACAGACATTGTAGAAGATTTGGATGTTTCACTTTACGGAGAACTCCAAGGACCATTATTTCCTGTGCCCATAATTTAAGCCATTCTGTGTTGTACACTTTCATCATGCCAGTCTTGAGATCCTTTTTGTTATCAATCCAAGAAGCCAAAAAATGAAACTTGCCTGGATGCTGAAAAAATATGCAAAAAATGTTTCAATTCAGTTTTTTTGACTATGAAGAGAGGAATCTTATAATGGTTGACCTAATTTCATTCAAAGTAAGAGAATCATTTTTGAGATATCTCAATACATAAGATCATACATCTTCAGTTCTTGCTATGTGACAATAAAAGATGAAAAACTGGTCAGAGTTATGATTTAAATGTTTCTGCTATAATTGTTTCCCTCTTCCTATTTCTGAATTGATACTGAATGAAAGCATGCTACAGCATCGATCTTTCTAGGAAACAAACAAAAAAAAATATAAAACCATCTTTTAGATTCCATTGATAATAATTATGCCACACTGACCTCCCACAAAATTAGGCTACATATGAAATTGCAAGTATGTGTAATTATGAATATCATCTCAGTTTAGTTTAGTATGGTACAAGGGGATAATAAGTGGCACTTTTTCTATGTTGTTATGCATAAATTAGAAGCAACTCATGGACACAAAAGTGATCTGAAGTGGAATAGATGTAGTTCTATTGACAAATGCTGAGGATGCCACAGACAGAACATAAGAACAATAAGGAAGATTTAAGAAATTAGGAACAACACAAAAACTTACAGACAGATGAAATTTCAGGGACAAATAATGAGAAAAGAGAGCCCAGAAAATGTAACACTCACAAGGACATAATAAAAGCAAGAGAAGTAGGGGGATACAGAAAGTAATCCACTTAACAATCCTATTTGAATAGATGAAAGAACAAAAACAAAGACAGATAGTAAAGAGGCAAAAATTACTTAGAAAATCAAAAGATAGGAAATTGAGGAAATTTGTAGGAATCAAGTTAAAAATGGAAAGAACAGATGAGAACTATTTTAGAAAGAAAATGTCGTTGGCATCAAGTTTAAAATGGAAGAAGAAAAAAGAAAACTATTTTAGATTGAAAATTGATGGTCAAAAAGTTTAAAATGGAAAGAAAAGATGAAAAATATTTTAAAAGGAAAAGTTGTATACATCATGTTTAAAATGGAAGGAAAGATGAAACCTATTTTAGAATGAAAATGATGTAAGCTGATGTTGATGAAGTTTCAAATAGAAAGAAAAGGTGAAACTATTTTAGTATTGTCGGCTTCAAGATTAAAATGGAAGGAAAAGATGAAAATTATTTTTGAATTAAAATTTTATATTCATCAAGATTACAATGGAAAGAAAAAATGAAAACTGTTTTAGACTGAAAAAGTTGTAGGCATCAAGTTTAAAATGGAGGGAAAGATGAAAAATATTTTAGAATGATAAAGTAGTAGACACCAAGTATAAAATGGAAGGAAAAGATCAAAACTGTTTTATGATGAAAAAGTTGTAGGCATCAAGTTTAAAATGAATGGAAAAGGTGAAAACTATTTTTAAAAGAAAAATGCATAAACATCAAATGTAAAAATGAAAGAAAGACATGGAAGTTATTTTAAAATATAAAAATTATGCTGACATGAAATGTGAAATGAAGAGTTGGCTGCCATATCATTATGCAATTTGTTTTAAGATTAGCATAGATGTCATAAAAACCTAGTAGATAGAAACCTCTGAAGAGATATTACATAATAAATGATTTGCAGTTATTTTGATGCGGTAGTAAATTTAATTAATACTCAAACTTATTATGTATAAAATTCATTTTATGCATGAATGACAATTGGAAAACCTCAAAACTGAATGATGAAATTAAAAATATCCTGTGTAATATATTTCATCCTTCAAAATGACTTCTTCAGACTATGAATGAAAACAGAAACAAACATTTACTATAATTAAGCATATAATCAAAATTATATTTGTTTATATTTTCATTCCCTACTCCTATAGTGAATGCTGCCAAATTCAGTTCTTTTCTTATCAGAATGTCCAGAGTAAGTTTTCCATACCTTTGTAATAACCATTAGACTCAACCAACTCTTTCTGATTCTTCTGCACTGTCCTCAGATTGACCCTCAAACACTCTGAAATGTTTGTATTGGAGCTTCCAGTGTGAATGCCAAACAGTACATCATGCCATTTCCAAATTTCTGGCAAAGTGAATTGCATTTTGGTGCTCTTTTGCTCACAGACGGTGGCCCAACTGACCCTACTATACTGTGCAGTCAACAATATCAAAAGCAAATAACATGATGCAAATGCACAAAATTAAAAATATAAAATGGCAACAATCACCAATCATAGTGACGTTATGCCTCCATTCATCTTTCCATAAGGTCTCAGACTCGACATCAAGCACCTTGAGGAGGTAGTGCTGCCCTAGGTCAAGAGGGTAGATGCTATAAGACACTATGTCTGGCAACAGGACTCAGCACCATGCCACACAAGCAGGAGAATCCAGTTATGACTACCAGACAATTTCTGTGACCATGTTATCCCTTAAAAATCACCCCTTACATCTGGCCACATAACTCCCCAGGCTGCACCTCCCCTTGGGGTGCATTTGAATGAGAAGCCAACAGAATTCCTTGTAACACCAAAGATGAACTGAAGGCAAGGATTATGGCAGCATTCATCAACAAGGAGACCGTCCAGAAGTGTTGAAGGAAATTCCAAAATCATCTGGAGGCCATAGTTGAAATCAATGGCGATTTTATTAAATGAATTTACTCTTTAGTATTTCAAGATATTTTTGTGTAATTTTGGTAAATATATCTGTTAAAATGAAATGTCAGTGTTCTTTTCATTTTTGTGTAATTTAAAAGACAATTTATCCATCACAGCTTGTAAATATATGTGTGTGTGTGTGTGTGTATCACTGCTCACACTTTCTCTTTTCTGTTCCTATTTAAGCCCATTATTCACTAATTATTATTTTGAGTATACAATAAACATATCACATTCTGCACCCCAGTCCTGGTCTAAACTACACCCATAAAGAAACTAAATGAAGTTAAAGAAAGTTAATGACAACAAGAACAACAATGAAAAATACTCCATTTCTATTTAAGCCTATTAAATTATAAATAGAAATGGAGTTTCTTTGGGGGGGGGCATGTTTAGGGTGTGCGTCACATTCTCCAAAAAAATAGTTTTATTATTAACCATATCATACCCCCACCCATGTCGAATGACCTTGTTCATACAAAGTACAAAAATACTTTGTATGGACAAGATCATTTGACATGGGTGAAAGTACTTTGTTTCACTAAAATTATATGCAATAAATTCAAATTATATATTTATAAAATATATTTGTTTCATTAATATTTTTCTGGTGATAATTTCCAGTTGCATCAGTATGAATACAATCAGAATTTTTATATCTTAATTATTCCACTAAGACATTTACAAGACACAGGTTGTACAGATCATATAAAGGAAAATTTTTGACAGAATTTTAATGGTAACTGTACCGTTTTGCTCAATTGTATTAATTGCTTGATTTTTATTTTGTTTTCTTTGGATATAATAAAGTTTTTAGGCTTGTGTTCTTTTTTTTTCTATTATTTTTCATTTAATTATAATCATGGCTTGTTTAATGAAAATAATACTTCATAAATATAGCCAAGGATGTACCATTTACTACTAAGTTTACTAATTACTAATTTTTTCTTGATTTGCCCTGCTGAAATTATAGTGCATCTTATACACCCATGCATTTTATATGCCGCCAAATACAGTAATAAATCTCTTGTCACTCACTTTAAAACATATTACTCTATAAAATTGTGAGTCTTGACTTCAAAACCACTGTAGCAGCTAGCAACAAATATTTTGGTTTTTGATACAAATGTTACATATTTGAAATTAACTTGTGATTTTTACTTTTAAACCGTACAAAAATATCTTTGTATATTTTGAGCTCAAACATAACTATAGACAACTATAGACCCAACTATAAACTTGCATCATTGAGTATCTAAATTAGTTATTTTACTAATTTACATGTCTTTTCCATATTACAGGTTTCTCTTATATTAGAAACAAAAGAGAAGATTCAATGTGACAATAGTTCAGTCTCTATATAGTCAAAAGGAATAAAATTAGAGCTCACTAGTATTACATGAAACAAAAGGCCAGATTAATTAAAACACTAAAGAGATTCATGTATCAAATGAAAAAAAATCACTTGTCTTTCTTTCTATAGACGATCAATTTCCAACCCAAATAAATCATTCTTCTTTCTTCTATCTTTACATCAGACTATTTCAGATTAAGTAACATAAAAATTACAAAAAAAAAACAAAATCAAGACATTATTACGAAAATGAAAATTTACATTATAAAAATAATTGTTTGTATTTATTCAATTTTGGACCAGCAAAAACTTAAATCAAAACTTTATTCAAGTGTTTTTTTATGCCAAGAATAGTTTATATATGTTATACTCTGCTGAAAATCTCTTGAATCACTTTACAACAATGTCAGACAGATATGGGCACTAAGAAAGTAAAACCTAAAATAAAAAGTCATCCTCTGCACAACAGACCTGAGCATCACATCTGGTCCACAAAACAATCCTCCCTCAAAAATCAAAATATAACATAAAATATCTGCTGAAGACCCACCCTACTTCAAATACGTATATCACGTACACATAGACATTCCACTCACATCCCCTGTAATAGCAAACTCAGATTCACAGCTTCACTAATCCATGTTAGATCTTTCTTGACATCACCACCGTGATCTCAGACAACCAGCCCAAAATTCTACCCCAACTCAAAGTTACCACCCTTGCCTACATTAAAGATATTCCTCTTGTATCTGCTGTATCAGTAAAATATCAAAGAATTTTATAATTACAATTCTTGTCTTCTTTACCTTTTACCTCACAGGCTGTAATGTTGCTTTGTTTGTTCTTCAGCTATACACATGTGTTTATAACATAAAGAAATGTGTTGAACAGTTTCAGCAGCTGAAATAGAAATATTGAACCCTATTCTTTATAATTCAGTTCTCTACCACTAAATCTTTTTCATCTATAAGTTGTTCTGTTTGATGATAAATTGCTTTTCAGTGTTGTTGTTGATCTGAGATGAAAGTTAAAAATTGAAAACAAGAAAGAAGTGTTAGTATGACAGAAGGATAAAAAAATGAAAAAAAATTTTAAGCAAATAATCTTTATCTATAAGAAAACAAAAGCCTTAGCAAAAAAGAGATTTCATTTAATCCACCTAAATACTAAGCTTTATTCCACATTCAAGATAACACGATACGTGTTGGTCACTGTTTATCCTAAACACTCAAATAACCTTTGCCTTGCTTTCTGTTCACTAATCAATGAATAATAAAAACAACCTTTATATATTTAGTTTATATAAGCTAATTCTTATTTCTAACATATTACAGAATGTCTTAAATAAATTACAGGTAATTTGAGGTGAACTGTAGTAGGATGAGTTTATGGAGAACAAAAGTTATTAATATTTCCTTAGTTTACCTTTCTATAAGTCCCTGTTCCAATCATTTAACTTCTCAGCAAGATTGGATTCATTTAACAGCAATGAACACAGCCACAACAGAATGAGGATTTCAATGTTGTCTTATCTTGATAAAACAACTAAGGACCATTATTAGTAATCTAATTAGAACATTATGGAATTAAATGAAGGACAGATAGAATTTATTCCCTCTCTTTGTCTAGCTCAATTTTTTAAACATTTTTTCTTCTGTTAACAACATAGAAAACATTCACACTTATTGTAGTGCAGAGTGCCGGTTAGCTTAGGTAACGTCATATCTGAGTGTATATCAAAGAAACTTTGTGTAAAGTTTGAAGGTAAATCAAAAGAGAGAGCAAAATAAATTTTTATTTAACTTAATATATTTACAGAAGGGAAGAGTGATTAAATGAGAATTTTCAAATCTTCAAAGATGAGAGTCACTAGACATACAAAAAGAAAATTCGGGCATGTATGTATAAAGATGTTTGTATAACTGTGTAGTAGTCATCTGTGTAAATTGTTGAAGTTGAATGAAGTATCTATATGTATTTATCTATTTGAGCATGTGTATGTGTATGTGTTGCACAAATGTCTGAGTAATTTAGCCATCTGTGTTTAATGGTGACAGCTAATATTGAAAAACTGATAAAAACAATCCCTCGATTCTAACTGAATTTAGGCTTTCTCTTTACATAGGTATGTTACTGAACAAGCAGAACCATTTGGAGATTCCTGCTTGACTTCTGATTGGCTTATGAGGACATGATGCTATATCTTTGATAGAAGTGAATCTTGTTTCTGAGTGGCTTGTGCAAATATGATTTCATATCCTAGCAATTCAAAATTGTCATCTATTTTTAGCAAACGATGAATTTGTTTGAGTCTTTTAATCACCAATGCAAAACATTTTGAGAAATGTGCATTTTATATCCTATTGGATATTGCATTTCACTAACTTTTTCATGCGGAACCATCACTATTCCTAAACAATATTCTAGGCTTTGAACTTACTCTCCACCAAAACCAATTATATTTTCATTATATTATTTTGAAAGGGGAAATTATCATTGAATCAAATTGTTCACAATTGTGATCATTTGATACAGATATTTTATCTTTCAACCAAAAGTTCCTTCTTATTTATAAAATTAAAAGTTTTACTTACTTCCATTCTTAAGAGTTCTAATCTCTTGAGTCGTCGGCTGTCTTGGGAAACTCCATTTTGGTTCCTGCAACAAGTGTTTTTTGTCCATACAACATTTTCCGTGTTGCTCACAATTCCATGTATCAAAATATGAAGACTGATCGTTACCATGGCAACATGACGATCAACATTATCCAGTTCATGTTGATGTCGACTACGAAAAAGCACTTTAGTGATCAAAATGCTGACTATCATGTACACAAATTGTTGAAAAAGCAGTAATTGGTGAAGTAGTCGTCCTTGACCGATGGCTGATATCTGCCAAACATCTTCTGTTGCTGAGTTTACCAGACTCGTAAAGCGTTGTGACTTGATCATTCCAATAATGCTAAAGGCAAACGTTGCAAAAATCACCAACCAGAAACAAATGACTAAAAGAACACTGTAAGTGCCACCATGTTCCTCTGGCCAATGAAGAGGCAAAAGGCTGTAGAATGTCACATTAAAGTAATCTCCATTTGGGATAACAGGCAAAACAGAAAGGAGGAGACAGGCAAGTTTTATTCCTGTGAAAACAATTATCGATGATCCAAGTTGGTAATTAGTTGTGCTTGTCACCTTTCGGGGATTCTGTACAAATAACAAGATTGTTTGAAATGTGAGGAAAGAGCACAAACCGTCCATGTATCCAAAAAGCATTAAACTAGCTGAAGCAAGTATGAGAAACCTAGGTGCAGTTCCTTGTTGTATGAGAACAACCAGATGAATTATCAGACCAATTCCCAAGAAGAGTGCTGAAGAATCCAGTAAGCAGATAGAATATTTCCATAATTTAGGAATTGGCAGGCCCTTGCTTAATTTGAAGAGGAGTGAAACAAAACAACTCATGATGCCAAAAGAGGTGAAAATGAAAGTGATGGTGATAAAAATTGCTGAAGACCGAGATGCTTCCATTACAGATGCACTGAAGAAATCATTTTCTGTAAGACGAGATTTATGAACAAGAAAGAAAATGTCATCTTTGATCATTTTCTAGCCATTTGAAATGTACTTTCAGGTATTTCTTTGAAAAGGTATCAAAGAGAATTCTTGAAAACATCTTTTCTTGTCAATTCTCAAATCCACTGCAAACCTGTTGAAAAAATGTAAAATGTTAAAATTATAATCTATCTGTCATTTGTCTGGTTTAACATAACTTTTAATTTCATCATAAAATTTATACTTTTTTCTGGATATTTATTAATATTATTTGATTTCATTTGGTAGAGTGCTAAATAAGGGAAATGTTATGGAGGAATATTGTTATACATGCATGAATCTTTTAGAATTGGGGATGCTATATGACTTAAAAATCAGCATTCAATGTCCTGTCTTTTATCTGGGCTTGACTACTGACCAGTAGCACTAACTTGAGACACACAACTACATCAGTCACAAAATAATGTCAGTTATGGTATTTATGTTTCATTTCATTTTATCTGACCTGATCAGAATTTAGCATCAAACATTTTGAGAAATATAAAATGTTTAATATTATTAAAAATTATTTGATGTAACATCTATTCCACCATGATAGGTGTTTATTTGATTTACTTGGTTTTTCCAACACACAAAATTGACCTCCTGACCTTATTGGCTCTCACCCCAAATTCCACTATCCACTTTTATTATCCATTATATCTTTTAGGAGATTACTTTTTTTGATAAACCTACTTCAGAACAAAGTTAGCAACATAGCTTCAACCATTGAAAAATTGTTTGCTTTTCTGCTGAAAAGGCTTTCATTTCTAAAACAGTTAATTCCTTTATTGTATTTAGCCCAGTAGAAAAGCTAACAGTTTTATTTTCTCTCAGTTAAGGAGATTTTTCATCAGAGAAATAAAATGTTAAACAAGCAGTAAAATACTAAATGATTTTCTCTGGATTATTTGTCTAAAATACATTTTCACTCAAAATAAATATTTACATATTTGTGTATATATTGTTGAAATGTTTAAAATGAGACTAAAACATTAAACTTTTATGAAGTTTTCAAAATATTATTTCAATTTGTTACAATGAAACCTAAATTTCAAAATAATTCTTAATTCAATAAATATGTAAAGAAAAAAAAACAATCCATGATTCCTTCATTGCTGCTAGCACTCCATGAAAGAAAAATATTTGCATTGTATTTAATGTCAATAAAAATTATTTTATTATAGAGAGCTGTGGTAATTTTCATGGATAGATAGAAATGTTTTTACTTTTATGATTATGAATGATTAATAATTATGACTGATAAATAATTTGAAAATAAAGTAATTGAAAAATTATAGCATAAAAATAAGAAAATAAACTGATGACATTGAGTCATTATTAGAAAAACACTAACCTTTTATAAGATAGTAAGTGAATGTTGGGTATATACTTTGGCTATTGTGACTAATACTGGGTTTTGTCATATCTAGTCTCATACATACTTCAATTGTTTCATGAGACATTCTACTCAATTTGTTTCTGCTTTCATCCCTATTGAGTAAGAAAAGATGGCCTCTCACTTAACCTTTGAACTGAGTTGTCAAGTAACAATAGTCACCATAAACAAACATTTTCATTAAATAAAAAAAGTAAAAAAAATGATTAATATTTTTTTCAAATCCTGTTTAGTAATCATTTAATTGCCTAATTTTGATTAAATCTAATGTTTCTATAGACTGCTTTATTTTTGAAAGGTTTTAATTACAGAGTTTCAATTTCTTTTGTTGACAGATATCAACAATGGCATAATCAAAGTCAATTTTGGATGACAAAAAATGATCTTAAAAACAGTTTAAAACTGTAGAAAATTTAGCAACTCCCCAAATTGAGTCATGGCTTGATGAACAAAATGATATAATTGAACATTGTAAAAACATACTTTATATAAGAAATACATTACACAATGAGAAGAGAATAGAGAATTGCTAAAAACATAATCTTTTAGCAGTTAAAAGTTAAGGCATTGGGGATTATATCTAAAACATGTGACTGTTTGAAATAGATGAAACACTTATCTGTATTGCGATGTCCTTTGCTGACAGCTGCATTGTCCTTGCATCATTCAAGTTTGCTTGAGGCCAGCATTGCCTGTTCTTGGAGTAGGCTATATCTTGGTGCCTAAAATCTATTTTGTGCCTAATTTTGGTTCATATCCATTAATATCAGTTGAATTGGTCCAACCTATTATAACCAGCAGTTATCTACCAAAGGGAGATAACCTATATTTTTTATAAAACATTTTACTTAATAACAATATTAATGCGACCCCCCCCACTTCATGTACAGCAAAAAAAAACAGTGTAAAATCTATCCTTTTGCATTAGTGTGGATGTCCTCCAGAGCTCCATCCTTGTTTCCTATATTCATCAATGACATTCCTGATCTCATCATTTCTAAACTTGGTATTTATGCCAATGACACAATGCTTGCATCCAAGCATCATCATCATCATCATCATCATCTCTCCTTATTCCCTTTCTCCCTTCTAGTGGCTGTGTCTGGAATGTCTTTAATTGATCTTTGAAGTGTTGTTTTGGGCTGTTTTGTAGCCTCTTGCCTCTTGCCACTGAGTAGTTCTTCAAACAAAATGATATATGGGAGTTAAGTGGGATGCATTCTGGATACATGAACCGTCCAGTGGAAGCAATGTTGAAGGATGGTAGCCTCGATGCTGGGGAGAGATGTCTGAGAAAGGATCTCATTGTTGGTGATGCAATCCTCCTAAGTGACGTGAAGGATGCTTTGAAGTTTCATTTGCTGGAATGGCTCCAAACGTTTGCTGTCTCAACTATACAATGTCCATGTCTTGCAAACATACAAGAGGGTGGAAAGGACCACAGACTGGAAGACCATTATTTACTTATTGAGGCCAGCACTGTTGAAGACCCGGTGTGAGAATGTTCCATATACACTTACTATTTACTCCTGTCTTAATAGTAAGTTCAGTATGTTTGATAAAATAAAACTGACAGCTGATTGTGAAAATGACAGCCAATAATTTGTTAACTAGGGCAAGAAATGGCTTGTAAATTTGAATGCTTCCAAAACAAAACTACTATCTTTTATTCATCTTAGAGGACTATTTTTTCCTTCCATCGGCATGACTGATGCTAGCCCCCAAGAGAGTGACTCATTGCACCTTCTTGCTCTCATGTTTTTTACTGACATAAATCAATTGAATCAGTTACTAGGTCTGTATCTGCTGCTAGGATAATTTGTTCCTTGTGTTGCTCCAGACAATTTTTCTTGCCAGAATCCTTCTTGCACATTTATAAATCGACTATTCATCCCTGCATTGAATATTATTGAAACATCTGGTCTGGTGCTTCTGCTGTATATCTTGAGATTCTTAACAAAATCCAAAGAAGGATCTGTAATGTTATTGAGCCTGACCTGGCATCTCAACTTCTGTCACTTTCTCACCAGTGTGATGTGGCTTCCCTCTGTCTTTTCTGTAAATATTTTCATGGTAATCGCTCTAATGAGATTTTCTTCTTGATACCTCAACAACATGAATTTAAGCACATGCTACTAGATCGTCAAATAGGTTTCATTGTTTTATTGTTAAAATAGCTTAGATGTAACCATAAGTTCCATTCTAATAGTTTCTTTTCTCATACTTCTTGCCTGTAGAACTCTTTCTCCCTCTCTCTTTTTTGCTTTCCTGCCACCTACACTCTTCATAAATTTAAATGTAACATCAATCACTATCTTCTATCTTCCTGAATCCTGTTATTTTATTGTCCTTTCTCCTCACTAGTGTCTTCTCATTTTCTTTTACTCTCAGTGACTCCTTGTGTCTTAGTGGCATTATCACCTTGTTTGGGGTGAAATAATTAAAAAAAACTGCTTTAAGTAAGCCAAAGCAATTTTTCTTTTTATAGCATTTTATTTAGATATATTTTAAGTTTATGTAAGATATTAACAGGGGTATTTTGTTTACATTGTTAAATATTATCAAAAACATAGCATGACAAGTTTTGTGCATTACAAACAAATGAACACTGGCTTCTGTATATGCAGACCAAAAACAAATTAATATTTAACTGTTTATATTTCTTGTCAAAAGGAATAATTAACATTAAAACTATTTCTTTTGTTATCCACTGTTGTTATAATTGTCTAATGATATTTACAAACAAATCATTTTGTCTAATAAATTTGTATCTTCTGGTTTATTTCATTTTCTTTCTTCCTTCTTTAAAATAGGAATTTCACTGATTTTTCAAAATAACATTTATTTAGAAAATAACAGTGCAGTATGATTTAGATCAGGAATAGTTAGACAGCAGTGAAAAGGGATATATGTGCAAGTTACTTAAATAGAGATATTTGTTATCAATGTTGATTTACAAGCAGACATTATCCTGAATGAAATACACACACACACACAAACATCTCTCCATACATGAATAGATTTGTCTGTATTCAAAACTGATTTAATTTAAAGAAAACTTCATCAAACATAAATATATTTCTCTGTATTACTATTTTGGTAGGTAAGTTTATATTTGAAATCATATGAAAAAGGTACAAAATATGTATGTATATATATATATATATATATATATATATATATATATATATAGATAGATAGATAGATAGATAGATAGATAGATAGATAGAAAGAGAGAGAGACATAGAGATAGATAGATAGATAGATAGATAGATAGATAGATATAGATAGATAGATAGATAGATAGATAGATATTCCTGATATTTTATATTAAAAACAGCAATAAAAAATACAGTTTTTAAATTCTTTTCATCTTTCAAGTTTTTCTTCAAAATCATGATGTACATTATACACTGGAAAATATCATGTGTGCGCATGTGTATGTTGGGAGTGTACCAGTTGCGTAGCTAGAATAAACGTCACCCGGGGCGGTCCGCTCAAATGTCACCCCAATGACCCCGATTCACCCTATGCTTGAATGGTTAGCTGTAGCTAAATTTTCATACATGCTCTACCTCTACTTTACTCTACTGACCGGTACATTACTGTTTACATGTATGATCCAAGACAAAATCCAATACCACAAAATAATCAGTTCAAATCAAAAGATTTTTAAAATGCAACTGTTCACTTTCAGAACAACTAAATACAAAACACGGCAATACACAAAAGAATGACATTTGATACTATGATCTTAGAATGAATGTTTTCTTGTTTTCATTGTGGCAAACTGATCAATGACATCGTCAAAATATGTTTGTCTTGTAAGCTCGTTTTCAATGGACAGCACAGCCAGATCCGACAGTCTCGACTGGCTCATGGTTGACGTAATTTTCTGTTGCTAATTTTCCAGTGTCCAATTTTCCGTTGCATCATTTTCTGGGTACCATTTAATTATCAATGATGTTTGAAAGTATTTTTCTTAACAAAAATGTTCTATTTAATTTTTAAGCATTTTTCGGAACATTGTAAATCAACTGCATTCTTTTAAAGATTACCTAGAGAATTTATGCAAAGTTTATTTTTTTGTTTTTCTTTCTACAAGTAAAATAAATTTACATCGTATTTTGATGTTATTATGATTTTAGTTAGTTTTAGTGATAATTTAAAAACAATAAATATTTATCATTAGTACCAATAATGGAAAATTAAGTTAAAAATTTAAAAGAATCGTTTTTGGAATCGGAAAATAGCCACAAAATTTTTCCGATTCCAATACCGTTTCCGATACCCCAAAAAGTTCTGATTTTTTCGATTCTTGATTCCGATTCCGATTAATCGTCCCAACATTAGTAGATATATTCAAAAGTATATCTCTCACTCAATGGAAAATTGTATCTCAGTGAATTGATGATACACAGGCAAGACTGAAATTGTTGCACTTTTGGCTTCGTATTTTGCTTTGTTGTTATTAATGATGCAGAGTTAAAACACCATATCATCTGATAAAATGTTACAACAATGTCTTTTGTTAGTAACCAAGATTGTAGCAACTGAAACACATGAAAGCTGAAAACATTGCTATTTTTCCTACTCACAAATTTCCCGACAATGTATTAGAAAATTAGACTGGGGGGTCATAAATTATTTCTGGGAGGTCATATGCCCGCCTGCGAAACCCTGTGTCTCCACCACTGTTTTCAGACTATTTTTGGCACCTTAGCCTGGAGTGTACATCTATCTTTCTCTTTCTCTCTCACAATATATATACACACACACGCCTTTGTATAAGTGTATCAGACATGAACCTATACACATATGATCTTAGATCTATTAATATATATACAAATATATAAATTTATCTATATCTATCTATCTATCTATCTATATATATATATATATATATATATATATATATATATATATACATAATATTAATATATATAATATATATTAATAAATATACATTGTTTCCTCAGAGTTTCATGCACAATGCAATCTTCAGGTGCTGTGGATTGTGACAAAGAAAATTGTGTTGTGCATGGAATTCAAATCATGCTTGACCAGTGAAGAAAAAAATGTCTATTTATTAATATATAATTTATAGCTCTGTTATATTACATTGAGCACTATTTTATTAACACCAGCACTCTATGTATGATATTATGTATTTATAAACTCACACATACACTATGAAAAATAATAATAAAAAAAACTTGCTTCAATAAAAAGTGCATATAAAAAAGAAAAATTGAGAAGTATAAACAATCAATTGCTGATACCCCCTGATGAGTGGACATAGTAATTCCCAGATGGTCTGTCTACAAAACTCTGGAATTAGGATGCTGAAAGTAACATCAATCAGCTAAGTGACAAACCTTTTACTTGTATTAATTTCATATATATATATATATATATATATATATATATATATATATATATATATATATATATTTATTATTTTAAAATTTATTTTATTTAAACATTATTTTTGATGGATGCTCATATTCAAGTAGAAGCTCTGTTTTTTAATTAAACAGTATTTTTTATCTAACTACATAGATATAGTTAGATAAAAATAATGTTTAATTAAAAGACAGAGCTTTTAATCAAATATGAGCATCCATCAAAAATAATGTTTAAACAAAATAAACAAGAAAAATAACAACATATGGATTTAATCCATTTCCTATATATATATATATATATAGATAGATAGATAGATAGATAGATAGATAGATAGATAGATAGATAGATAATATTAGTGGTAAATATACACATACATATGCAAAATATATAAATATATATACATACATGCATACACATACATATATATTTTGTATGAAAAAAATTCCAAGAGGATAGAATCCAGGTTTTACTCAATGTCCAGGACAGAGTAAGGATATAATAAAAGGCTTAAACACTAATATTAGTGTTTAAGCCTTTTATATATATATATATATATATATATATATATATATATATATATATTTTAGGAAATGGATTAAATCTGGAATTGAAATGGATTATACATATATTCATTGATGTGTTCATTTAAAACAGGAGGAATACATTTTCAAGAGTTTATATTCTTGATAAAAATACATAGATTGATGCTTCCACATACATGAGAAGGTACTGAAAATATTTTAATCTCAAGCCACTTCCCAAAATCTGCACTAACATCACAGTCTCTTAGTAGACTTCTTGGCTGGTCTTAGAACCTTTTAGCATCAAACTGTAAATATCCACACTAATGTGTGTGCATATGTGTATGTGTATACACATATGTGTGTGTGTGTACATATGTAGGTATACTAGTATTTCATATTTTAGGGCATAGTTAAATAACATAATTTCATATCATTAATTTATAAATATGTTAAAAGTCTTAATTGCATTTCCCCTAATTACCAAATTTCCTCTGCAACCAGAAAAAATGACCCAAGCATTGATAATTGCAAGAATTAGGAAGAAGAAAGAACAAAATATCTTTAATTTTTTAAAATTCTTTTTATCTTTTTTATTTTTTGCTTCATTTTAACGTTTCTTTGTAGATGAGGATTTTTCCTGCTTTATTCTACTTTCAAAATAAATCAACAAGAAAACTGAAAATATTATAGAATTTTTTAATGTTTTTTTTACACATATAGAAACAAATAATTTTCTTTTAGTAAAAATTTTAGGCCTAAGAATCAATAAGCCTTTTGTATCTTCCATTTGATGTAATCAATTTTTCTGTATAATCTTTGGTATAAATAAAGATGATATAAGTATCAGATATCTATGCATGCATATATTCTGATATCTACATTCACACAAATTAACTCAGCAATTATCATTTGGTTTAATGTTATAAGTAATTAAATTATTCATTCTGTGTATTTCTCAAAATTCCATGAAATTTGAACAGCTTTATTATAGAAATCAATTAGAAATGTCCAAACCACCAAACAAGTGATTAATCTTGTCAACACAGATTCTTCAGTTGCTTTTAGAAATTTCAGAAATTAAAAACTAATAGAATTTCTCAAATGTACCATAGATTTACTAAAAAATTAAATCTAAAAAATCCTAAATTTGAAAGAAAAAATAAAAAATAACATGACATTATAATATATTCTAACTTAATTGTAATTCAAGAATTAAAAACTTGTCAAAAATTAAAACAATTTCTCTCTTTTCAAATAAAAATGACAACTAAAGTGAGAAAGCATTTCAATTCCTGATTTTCAAATGTTTAAAATTAGAATCAAGTTGGTTTTAATTTCATAAAGTTATATTTAAAATGAATATAACAGAATTACCCAACTGCTAATTTCTTTACTGTGTCCTGTTTTGAGGAAGAATTAACTTTGCAAGTAAAAAGCGACTTACCTCTTAAAAAGTTGACAAATGTATTGTATCTAAAGTCACAGTGTAAAAAGGCTGGTGCTACCATGAATAACGACTGTCAAAGTATCTGTTAGAGAAAGAGAGAGAAAAGTTAGAAAAGAAAAGAGAGAAGAGAAAGAGAGAAATATGTATGTTAGGGTCAGACTACCATACTACACAGAACCAGTTAGTTGTCTAACTAGGTTGCTGTTGGAGTGGACATTTGAACAATTATAAACTTCTGCTACAGCCTAAAGTAGACAGAAACACAGGCCTTTATTTCTTCATATGTCTAAAAGAATTTTATAAATGCACAAAATAACCTGATAGTAATAATCTAAGAAAAATATGAGGAAAATAATCCAAGAAATCAAATTTTGTCTATTTGATAAGCTGTTTATTTACTTACAGGTGGGGAAGAAAAACTGAAAGAGATCAAGAAAATAATAGAAAAGGAAAAATGTTTTCAGAAATATTTTCTCTTTATTTTCTTTGTGTTGATTTCAAACAAACAGAAACTATTAATCACATTAATCAATGCTCTATCAAATTAATGAGTTACCACTTAAAACTAATAAATGGTATAGAATTAAAATGTCTTTCAGACTGAATTCAAAGGTCTCCTTTTTTTTCATCAATCTCATTCTTTTGATTATACTGTAGCAATTTATATTTAAATTTTATTTACACCATGACTTTGTCCTTTAAATATTATCCATAGTAAGAAATTCTGAACATTGAAAAGAATGCCTTAGACAACTTTTAAAACTGTTTTTCAAATTTGGTGCTGAGAAGTTTTTAATGGTGATGACTTTAAGTTCAAGCTTTATTAAGAATCACTCAAAAAATTCAGTGAGTTCTAAAATTTGGATTTATCTCTGAATTAGATCAAAATTTCTATATTAAATTCAATAATTCCATTTGTATTGAATATTAAAGCATGATGGAGTTAGTACAGATACAGTTAGTCTATGGTGTCTTAATAAATATGTGCCTACCACTTACCTCAACTAGAAGACCTGAAAAATATTTTTACATTTTGGGGGGGAAAAGGGAGTGGGGGTTTATATGCCATGAAAAAAAGGTGGAGTCATATAAGCCATCAAATAATTAAATGATAACTTTTTATCATTAACTTAATATTAGCCAGTGTTGTTTTATTGTTCAGATAAGTTTCTAATAGAAAACAGAAATGTTTCAGAAAGAATGTCACTTGTTTTGTTCTGGTAGGTTATGTTTAAGCAAAACATTTGTTAGCCTCCCAATGATATTGCAAGAAAAGTTAAATGACTGAAACTACTATTAATATTTAAAATTTCCCAGAATCCAATCATTTGAAAATATTGTTTACTGTTTTTTCCTCTCTCACTGCTTCTAATGAGTGTAACAAATAGATAAAAAGTAAAAAATATTCATTTCTTTATTGGCTACAAATCTATTTAAAAATAATTATGTTTCAAAAATCACTTAATGATCTCAGTGAGACTAGACTAAAATAATTCCAAATTTGGTTTGTCATATTTTGTGAGAATTTCCTTAGCCCAGTTATAAATACCAACATGAAGAGTGAAATTGGTTGATGAATAGAAAATGGAAACAACAAACAAGAAAAAAATTTCAATTCTGGTTTAAGTTAAATAGGCCATAATTTTTTATTTTTGCCTTATTACAGATAGCAGCAAAATGACAGTCTGGTAAAATGGCATTTGACATGAAGATGTGTATGAAGCCAAGGTATGTCACTGAATGTCTTCATGTAAAAAAGATTGCACTCAGTGACATTCATTGATGCTTGCTGAATGTTTACAGAGCCCAAACAGTGGATGTAAGCACAGTTAGGTGATAAGTAATGCATTTCAGCAGTGGCAACAGTGATGTGTGCAACAAGCCACATCTTCAAGTACAGTATGAAGACTTTTGTTTATTGTTGGTGAAAATGCAAAGCCAATGTAGAAAAATAATATTTTTTTTAAGTGAAAACTTAATCTATCCAAGGGTATTATTGTGTTTTTTGTATTTCTCGTAGTTTTCATGAAAATAAGTACAAAACATTACTATCAGACCATCCATCACATATACACTATAAGCCAAAAGTTTGGGACCACCTCCCAATTTAATAATTAGTAAATCTCATACCTTCTACTAAGCTAAGATACAGAAACTATTTAACTGATTAGTGATTGGTGTTCAACTGTTTAGAGAGGAATTTACATAAAAATGAAAATCCATCAGCCCTAAGATTACCATTAGCCAACAAGCTAGATTAGGCAAAAAGAGCTAAAATTTTAAAGAAATTTTATGCAGTAATGTATTAATGCTGTTATTATTAGTATTATTAAATTTATGATAAAAACCCTTCAGGAAAAGAAAGTCCCTATGACCATAAGTGAGCTAGTAAATTAGTTTTGAAAAAAAACACAACCTTCAATTTTTGGGCAATTTGAAATCCAGTGGGTGTCCCCAGATATTATATATATATATATATATTTGCAGCTGCTCCCTTACTTAGAAACATTCAAGTTGTGAACTACCAGAAGTATAAAAAAAATCTGTAAGATAATATACTGTAATGTCTGTAATTAGAAATTACTTTTTGAATCTCTCTTACCTCCTTGGTAAGCAGTAGCAAAGTAAATTGTTCAGACTGAGTGGCAAAACATCCGAAAAGTAAAGACATGTTAAAAATGTTAGAAACAAAGAAATCAACACATTTCATTGCTAAGAGAAAATGGCAGCAATGAAATAGTCAAAGATTTATAAGATCGTTTTTTTATATCAACTCAGAGTTGAAAAAAACTTTTGTGTGAACAAATCATATATTTTTGCTTGAATTTTCCCTGAACAACATATGTGTTAGCAAGCAAGTGTCAAGAATACAAGGAGGTGCTGAAAAGTTCTTGGTTTGACTCAGTTCTCACCCCACCACCCCTGACAAAATGAACAAACATTATAATTTATTTTAGAATTACTTCGGCAGCAGGTTGAGATCTTTTCCAACCCCTCCCCTGCCATTATAAAGTAAAAACTGTAAAATTGTAAATACCTTTTGAACTTACAAACCTCAGAAATTTATATTTGTTCATAAATTTGTTTAAATAAAAATAATGACGTAAGCAATATGACATTAATAAAAATGAAATGAGTATATTAAGTATTTCAAATTTTTATTGAAAAAATATCCTACGGCTCCTTTTCAAAATTCATACTCAATTTGATTTATAAATATATTTACATAGTTGCATATCTGAAACCCCATTGCAAAGACACTACTCTCTTTCTGACTCATGCTTCTCCCTCACTCTCATATATTTTTCTCTTTTTCATTTATGCACATTGTAAATTTTTCTCTCTATTTCACCCTATCCTCTCTGATAAGCCTACTTCTTCCCTAATTCTTCCTTATATAATCTTCCTTTTTATCTCCCCAGCATCTACTCTCTCTTATATTTATAAATCGTCATACCAGGAAGACTATAGACCTCCAAAAAGGACAAAATGAAACCTATTTTCTCCAGAGGTCAAGAGTCACTTATATGCAAGTAACAAGTCAGATCTTGACTTAGAATGAAAACTACAGTGTTCTCTTTGCTTTCTGAATATATGACAATCTGATTATAATTATATATATATATATATATCTTATTACTAAGAAAGTAACAGAGTGAAATATTTGCTGTTTTAGTTGCAAAACAGAAAATTTATCCTCAGCATTTGTCATTCTAGCTGAATTTCTTTATTTTGCACAAATTGTTTTGTAAAAGAAAAGATATTTTTCTTTGCATTTCTATATTATTTGTTTGCATTTATGTTAAAATGAAAATACTTTTTATTTAATTTTTTTTCTAATGTTTCCAAACAAAATTGTTATTCAAATCAAGCAAATGAATATTTTTAATTTTTTTTATATTTTATGCATTTTCAATGATTTGTAGCAAGATTTAATGGTAATAAACCCACAAATTCTCAAAGAAAATTTTCTTGTCACAATTAGTAAACAATGGTAAAATGTAACTATAAACTCAACCCTAAGGAAAAAAGCTCTTTAGAAATTAACTGAAGAGTAATCACTATTTTTAGCCAGATATCAAATGTGAACTAATTCATTTAAAGACCTTTCAAGAAATATAATTACTTACCTGTAATTAGTATATATTTTAACTGCTTTTAAGGTCTGTTTCAAATGAAAAACAATAAGTTTCTATAAGAGAATATCATAGCCTTTGACTGAGTCAGATATACCAATATGCTGTGTCATAATCACTCTTCCTTTGAAATGACCAGAAAATAATTAAAATGATGTGACGTCAAATGTTACAAAAAATTGAGAAGGCAGTCAAATACTTGACATCCTCTCGATTACAAACATTCAAACAGCTGCAAAGAAGTTGTAAGTTAATATTATTTCATTAAATACATTTGGAGCAACAAATCTCTTTCTCTCTTTGTACTGTGTGCCTCCATGTCAATCATTGCTCTCCACAGCTTCCTTTGTTTCATTGCTTTCAGCAATACTTACACTTTTATAACCCCTTTTTCTCTTTATCATACTTTCATTCATTTATTCAAACTTGAAAATATATTGCTATGTTCCTCTGCTTCTCTTGCTTTCAGTAAGCTCTGTGTGTTAAATTCTCCAAGCCCTCTTTCCTCATTATTTGTCAACAAAATTTCAGCTCACTCTTTCTGATTATTATCAAGTTTCATTGTAGCTGCTATTCTCTTCAAAATCCCTCATTTCTGAAAAAGCGTCTTTTCAACTTCAAATTTTTGTGTCACACTTTAATACGTAGACTGCCATGCTATTAATAAATAAACACTTTTGTTGTCTTTGTTAAACAACATCAGCTTCATCTTTTTACAATTAATGATTAGTCTTTTCTTTTTGTTTTCCTTTCTTCTTCCAACCTCATTTTATTCTCTTGTCTTGGAGTTCATGCTATTTTCTTTTTGTATCTGCAATTAATATGGGGTCATCTGTGGAGCTTATATTGTTAAGATTGTATCCTGGTAAAACTCTTATAATTGGCTTTGCTGAACGGATTAAATAAAGAATGGCTGAAGACATGTTGCATGATGCCAAACTGAAAT